CAAGGAAATGTATGAGAGATTTCTCATTAGTGAGCTTCTGTCTGAAATTCCAATTCCAGCATATGTCTAGATTTCCTTCTAGAGTCCTTTTTTTACAGGATCATTTTTATTCTAACCATACCCACTGCTCTAGCTCACTCCCTTTGTTAAAAATAAGGTCAAATTTATGTCCTCAGAATTGTCTCATATAAGATAAGTATATAGTTTATAAATCAAATTTTATAGCTCGGTAGTAAATCTTGCCTCTTTAAGTGCTGCCAGGATATGATTATTTCTGAAACATAAAGTAGAAGAATACATTTTTCTCCTTATATAAATCTGCATGTCACTTTTCCCTGGAAATAATGTTTTGGCTATATTATCCTCCCCCACTCTGATTCTTCTCTCTCTTTCCCTGAGTTGAAATTCACAAGTCTTGAGACTTGTATAAATGCTAGAGACAGAGTAGATTAGTACTCAGACGGTGGAATCAGACACAGACTTTGAATTCAGATTCAAGCACTATCCCTTTCTGGTTGTGTTGACCCTGAGCAAGTCACTGATCTTCTCTAAGCTTGTTTCCTTATCCATAATAGGTGGATTTTAATAGCACCTACCTCAAAGTCATTATGAGGATTAATGGCGCACATAGTAAGTGTTCAATAAGTTTTAGCTATCTTTTATCTCTTTGTGTAACTCACTCTATTAGGTATAATGTAAAGTAAGTCAAAATACAAATTGCTGACCTTAAAAAGAAATTCAATAGACTAAGCATCCACAGGAACCACCAAATCACAGAGAAGTCTGTAGTTCAGGCACAGAAAGATTTGTCTAGGTTTGTTTTTATTTTGGTTTTTGTTTTTGAGACAGAGTCTCACTTTGTTGCCCAGGCTAGAGTGAGTGCCTTGGTGTCAGGCTAGCTCACAGCAACCTCAAACTCCTGGGCTCAAGCAATCCTACTGCCTCAGCCTCCCAAGTAGCTGGGACTACAGGCATGTGCCACTATGCCTGGCTAATTTTTTCTATGTATATTAGTTGGCCAATTCATTTCTTTCTATTTATAGTAGAGACGGGGTCTCACTCTTGCTCAGGCTGGTTTCAAACTCCTGACCTTGAGCAATCCGGCCGCCTCGGCCTCCCAGAGGGCTAGGATTACAGGCGTGAGCCACCGTGCCCGGCCTATCTAGGGTTGAGTGTGATTTTACGTATATCTACATATGCTTTGGTATATATTTTTATGCTTAATATCTGTATCTTATAGAGTATTATACATATTGAATTAGGTCTATGGAGGGTGAAGGGTGGGGAATATTCAGTTGCAGTCTCCCAAAAACCAGAATTTACCATAATTGGGAGGCAAGATGAACGAAAAGGTTTTTGGGTTTTTTTCCCCAAATGCTGTGGATGTGTTCCTTTGTAACTTAGATGCCAACTTTTTATAAATCAACTTATGTACTGAGGAAGCTCACTTAAGAAACTGTATTTATAAATTCATTTTTAAAGAAAAATTTTCTTTAGAATTCTTTACCCCGCCCCCTGGAAACTCTAGATTTTTCTGAGATTATAGTCAAAAGGCCATTGTTCTCTTTGTGGCAGTGTTCCCTAAGAGAAATGTCAATTTTCTAAGAGAGAAAATGTTACACATAGTTGTCTTAACAGTTCAAAATCACAGTAATGGTTCAAATGAAAGAAGCATATCTTTGTTTTAATACACAGGTAAGTCAAGGCGGTTACTGCAAGGGTTGAATTTGTTCTTCCGTAATGTTGTATTGTTTGGAGAAGGCTGTCTGGGAAGAGGAAATGAATCTTAAGTTTCAATCTATTATTTTTAAAGTTTATTTTAAAAAATAGACAATATAAGTACATAGTACAAAATTCCAAAGAAACAATATAAACATTGACAAGTGAGTCATCTTGTATACCCTAGGCATTCAGTTGCTGTCTTGACGTCAGTGTTTTTCTTTGTCTACTTTAGATTCAGTGTGACTGGCTTATTTTAAGTTTTCATTAAAGAGTGAGAGAAACGTGGCTTACTGATCAGGAAAACTCAAGCACTCCCTCGTGGGCCTGCCTCATTATGTTTCTAAAAATATAATAGTCCGTGGAGATAAGGAGATGAAAGTGGAAAGAAAGAATGGAAGGAACTTCAAGGAGTTTTAGAGGAACAGTAGAGTTTTGGCATTGGAGGCTGAGACAGCGTCTCCTCTGGTCAGTCACTGACTGTTTGGCAGTGATCTCTTTTTTCCACATCCAGGCTTTGCTAAACATAATCCTCTAATCTGATCTTTCCAGATCTTTCAATTAGACTCTATTTCTTTTCCTGTTTTAATATGATGATAAGTGGAAATTGCTTATTAAACACCAGAACATATACTTCATTAGCTGCATTATACACTTGGTTTAATTTCCAATTGCCTATGATAACAGTGGAATTCTAATTGCTCATTCTGTTTAGCATCCTTCTGTTCTCTTCCTCCTTCTTGCTGTTTTTAATTCCCCCATTCTCCACATTTTCTTCATCTACATTTTCTGTTATCAGACTTTATATTTAACCTATTTTAAAAAAACATGAGAAGGGTTTGACTGGCAGAATTGGTAAATTGTGGTAAGAGATTTATTTTAGACAACTGGTAACCAAGACTGGGCATGTGTTGGCAGCAATAGGTCAAACAGCCATTTGGCCTGCCAGTATGACATACCGATCCTTTAGACCAGGCGTCCTCAAACTTTTTAAACAGGGGGCCAGTTCACTGTCCCTCAGACCATTGGAGGGCCGGACTATAGTTTAAAAAAAACTATGAACAAATTCCTATGCACGCTGCACATATCTTACTTTGAAGTAAAAAAACAAATGGCCAAAAACACCCGCATGTGGCCTGTGGGCCATAGTTTAAGGACGCCTGCTTTAGATAATTATAAGGTCAATTAAGTGTATTTTACATAGGAAATAAAATATCTTCCCGATATGTGAAGCACATAAAGGGGATTATTATTTTGATCGTTATGTCTTTTAGTTTTCACTAAATCTTGTGCTTGATGATGTAGTTAATAAACAAAAATTACGGAGAAAAAAATCTCATACATTTTGCCATCCAGTAGGTGGGCTAGATAAGTCTTTCTGATTTATCTTAAGAACAATAAAATATTATATCTGTAATCATATTCACCAAGTGAGTCTTTCATTTTTTATTTTTGAATCTTTATTCTGATCACCAAATTATAGCTTTTAAATGATTCTATTTGTGGCATTATTATCCTTTACATAATAATGGATGTTGTCTTAAGTGTATTATTTGTTAAATCATATTTGCTAGACATTTATCTTCTAGGTAAGATGATATGCTGGGATAATTGAAGACTACCAAGATAAAGTGGGTACTAAAATCAATAGCTAAATTGTAGCCATTATGTTTCTTCTCTTGCTAACAAAAGCGTGCCACACAACTCTTAGTTTCTCAAGCTTTTAGCAAGGGACTTTAGTAAGACCTAACTATAGGTTGACATTTTTGAGAATCTTTTTGATATATTTAATTGCTGAAGCTGCTGTCTCCTATCATTTCTCAACTTGCTGATTTTAAGTAACAACTGGGAGCCTCACTGCAATACATGGTTTTAACTCACTTATACAGAGCTGTAGTGTATAGTATCTTATGTGTGCTTTTGAATATTTTTGTATTTTTTTATTGAGACAGAGTCTTTCTTTGTTGCCCTGGCATCATAGCTCACTGTGCAGCCTTAAACTCCTGGGCTCAAGCAATTCTCCTGCCTCAGCCTCCCAAGTAACTGGGACTACAGTCACGCCCCACGACACCCAGCTACTTTTTCTATTTTTTGTAGATACAGGGTGTCACTCTTGCTCAGACTGCTCTCTAACTCTTGGTCTCAGGTAGTCCTCCTGCTTTAGCCTCCCATATTGTTAGCATTAAGGCGTGGGCCACTGTGCCATTTTTGAAGTTTTTAGATGACTTTATGTGTTCATTGGTTATAGATGTGTTAGTTATAGTAGAAATAATCTGTAATTTTGATAAAGAGTGTTGACTTTTCTTCTAGCAACTAAGTGGATTCCCAGATCTGTGAGTCAGGATACAAGTGTATTTTCTTGTGTAAAGTAGAAATTTTTCATTTATCATACTGTTTGAAAGAAGGATACATTTGAAATACCATATTTGTTGAATATTTAATGCCATTGGTTATAAGATGCATTATTATTTTTTGTGTTACTGGGAAAGAAAGTGCTTCCTATTAAACTGAGAGGCCATTGTTTATAAAATGCATCCCAATTTCAGAGACATTAATGTGAAAAAGTCTGTAACTTACACTTGATGGAGTATGATGTTTATAATATAACCAACCCATAAATTTGCATAGAGTTTTGTAGAAAGCACTTATACATATGTCATGTGATTTTATCCTCAAACTAAAACTAATCTGTGAGGTGGATTAAATTATCCCTAGTTTTCAGGTGAGGAAACAACTTCACAGGGATTATATGTTCTCTCAGCTTTGTATACGAGTGAACTAGGGTCTCAAACCCATATATTCTTACTCTGAGACTTGTGGTATGATTGACAATGTCACCTTCCCTAACCCCAGATATACACAACTGCAAACTTCTATAAAATTATTTGGCCTAGATTTTTCTCTGTTGCCTAATATACATATTTCATATTTATACTTCACTATTTTTCATATGCTGTTCATATGTCTTGATTTTATTGATAGTTTTGAGTACTATTAAAATGCTTAATGTATGTTTTAATGTTAAATCATGTGTGACTCTGCTAATATATGGATTGTTTTAATTCTGGGTTGCCTGACCACTAGGAAGCTATATCTGCTGTCATTGGTGGTTTAGTATGTATATATTGAAAGCAATTTATCTGTTTCTATCTGACTAGGTAAAATGTTCAGGAACAGTTAAGAGTTGAGATCTGTGAAATGATCCAGGGAAGGCTGTTTAAGTGTTTGTCTATGGTTGTACTGTTCTTAGTGAATCAAGGTTATATCTGCTTCTTTCCCAGGTGGTGGCTAATGCTGTAGCAGCATTATCTGAAATCAGTGAGTCTCACCCAAACAGCAACTTACTTGATCTGAACCCACAGAACATTAATAAGCTGCTGACAGCCTTGAACGAGTGCACTGAATGGGGCCAGATTTTCATCCTGGACTGCCTTTCTAATTACAACCCTAAAGATGACCGGGAGGCCCAGAGGTCAGTCTGCTTTCCTCGAAAGTATCTGATACTTGTTGCCTCATTCAATAAGTTCTAGAATCTGCTCTTAGAATAAATCTCTTATGCTGAAGTAGGTCAGTGGCTTGTGGGGTAGATACTGCTATCTCCAAGGTATTTTCCTCACTGAATTTAGGAAAATTTAGGTGGTGGAGTAAACCATGTAAAAAAATAGCTCAAGAAATACATGTTTTTCATTTCTTATTTGAATAGTACAGTTACCTCTGCTAAAATCTTCCTCATCATTTTCTCACATCTCCCATGCAACAGTTCCTGGTTATTTGGCAAACAAAGGGTATTAAATGTCTTTTTGTATTGACAAACTTTTCATTCTGTTAGATACTTAGTAAGTGGTTTCATATTGGTCATTGAGCTGCACTGTACCTACAATTGAGTACTAGAGAAAGTATGGTAAAGTCAGCAAAATATATGTTGCTTCCCATTAGATACAGAAATCATGTCAGTCTGAGTTTGGAGAAGATTTTGGAAGGCATGCCTAGATTGTTTTCCTCAGCCCTTTACCACCTTGGTGTTGCAAATTTTCTTTGACTATCAGAAATTGACTACTACATTTCATCTGCATATACACACATTTTAGTTTACAAAGCTAAAATTATCCCTAATTTTTATTGAGCATTTTGTGTATATAGGCACTGTACTAGGCAAAGTACTTCTGAAGAAATGTTGGCTCTTCATTAAATTTGGAATATTTTAATTATGGTAGATAAGAACCTTCCTTGCCTGGCTGAAGCTGATTTCCAAGCTACTAGAATGTAAGTGTTCTTCACTTGTCTGGGAAATTGTTCCCTCTAGACTGAACTAAAGCTCACCCTGGTAATTTCTTTCCATCACTGAAAGTACAAATAGAGTCTGGAAAGAACTTTACCAAGAATTTTATTTTCTATTGATCATTGACATCAAACTAATTCATTCATTCAGTAAATATTTATTAAGTGCATGCTGTGTGCCAGGCACTGTTCTAGGCCCTGGAGATACAGCAATGGACAGACAAAAATCATGGCCCTCATGGAGCACTTATTCTGAGGGATGTGGGTCGGAGTATATATATCATTTGTTAGATGGTGATAGTGCTAGCAAAAAAGATAAAGTCGCGGAAAGATCTAAGAAATGCTGGACATTTGGGGGTGAGGGGTTGTATTTTTTAAAAAAGGTGGCCAGGAGCCTACACAACATAGACCCTATCTCTGTAGAAAAAAAAATTAGCCAAGCATGGTGGCATGTGCCTATAGTCTCAGCTACTTGGGAGATTAAGACAGGAGGATCACTTGAGCCTGGGAGTGTGAGGTTACAGTGAGCTATGATCATGCTACTGCACTCCAGCCTAGGTGACAGAGTGAGACCCTGACTCTAAAAAAAAAAGAAATAAATATATAAAGCACAAAAAGGGTGGCCAAGAAAGGCCTCACTGAGAAGGTAGCATTTGTATAAATATCTGAAGGTGGTCAGGAGTCAGCTTAAGTGGATGGAAGAAGAAGAAAGAGAAATAGCCTACTTATCCTCTGTTCTTAACTTTATGTAAACTAACTATACATATTGCCTAAGAATACTCAAAATTAGGTTAATTTCTAAAGAATGCTCAACAGATAATTATGCAAGATTTCATGAGGCATATAAGTATAGGTGGCAGTGGCTAGGAGAAGGGGAAGAAGTTGGGAGAATATCGTAATGGTGTTCTGCTATTTTAAGAAACAAACCAATCAAACAAACCCCTTCAGAGATTCCGTTATTATCCTGAAAGGGGGGGGGGCGTGGATTATTTACCCTGCTAACCTACCTCCTCCTGTATCTTCCAGTGAAACCTTTAGTCACAGCTGAGTTATGTGTCAGTATGAAATAATTCTCAGAATGCTTAATTTGACTTCCTGTAGGTTGAGTAGAAATGGGCTGTGAGGTAGGGAGACCTAACATATTATGGGGAGAAAAAGAGGACTGTAAAACAAGAAGGTAAATGGTGTGAGCTCAAGTGTTTGGGGGTATTACTAGTTTTCTTCCAGTTTGAACATCCCTTATTGCTGGTTTTCTAAAGTCTTCTGATGTCCCTTGCTCTGTCTGTAGTTTGCTGGGAAATGAGGCTTCTGCAGTGGTGGATCCCAATTTTACCTAAGCATGGAGCTTTTACTTTTCTAACCAACTCTTTAATTTCTTGATACTTGGGCCATGGGACTCTGACACATTACCTCATAGAATGGATTGAGCAAAGAAATTATAATTCAAGATATTAATTTTCCTTTTCTGCCCTTAGCATCTGTGAGCGGGTAACTCCCCGGCTATCCCATGCCAACTCAGCAGTGGTGCTTTCAGCAGTAAAAGTCCTAATGAAATTTCTGGAGTTGTTACCCAAGGATTCTGACTACTACAATATGCTGCTGAAGAAGTTAGCCCCTCCTCTTGTCACTTTGCTGTCTGGGGAACCAGAAGTGCAGTATGTCGCTCTGAGGAACATCAACCTAATTGTCCAGAAAAGGTTAGGAAATAGTGAATTGGTGATTAAAGTGTTTATAATTTTGAATTAAGCTTAATAATAACAGTGTCAAATAGGCAAGTGTTAATGTACAAAAATGAAAATGTTATATGGCAGAACAACTTGCCCAGGATCAGGAGGCTAACAGTTGATATCAGAGTGTTCCTATAATATTAATAAATACCTGGTGTTCTCTACAAATCCAGTTTGTTTTCTGAAGGTTCTCTTTCTGTTATACTATCTGGTGTCTGCTTGATAGGGTTTAGGCTATAGTTTAGAGCCAGATTGTTGTTCTAGCAGTTCTTCGGGGCAATGTGTACCCTGATGCTTTAAAAGGACGAAAATAGTCTTCCTAATGGAACTGATAAGAATAGAGAGGTATAGAGGAAGTTTGTGCATTTTTTTTCCCCTAGGGGCAGTGGGAGGAGGGCAGAGATTAGATATTAATACAGACTCAAAAGAATATATCAATATATGCCTTCACCTTCCTTTCTTGTGTTTCTGTGTACCACAGGCCTGAAATCTTGAAGCAGGAAATTAAAGTCTTCTTTGTGAAGTACAATGATCCCATCTATGTTAAACTAGAGAAATTGGACATCATGATTCGTTTGGCATCTCAAGCCAACATTGCTCAGGTCAGACTTTAAGTAGACTTAAGTTTATGATGATTTGGATTTTAATTACAGTCTGGGCTTCAGAAGGAGCTAGGCCATGAGATTGCTGTTTGAGAATCCTTAATGATTATCCACTTCCTGGATTTCTAACAGGTTCTTGCAGAATTGAAGGAATATGCCACAGAGGTGGATGTTGACTTTGTTCGCAAAGCTGTGCGGGCCATTGGACGATGTGCCATCAAGGTGGAGGCAAGTGTCTGATGGTCATGGTGATTAGGGGATATTGAATGTTTTCTTCACTTTTTTCTTTAAAGTACATTTTTTATGTTTATCAAAATAATAAAGCACACAATTAAAATATTAAAGAATTTTTAACAAAAGCAGCTGTCCGTGGTCCCTCCCTTCTCTACCTAGACCCTCTTTCCAGATGGAATCATTTTTAACTCTGTTTTTAGTTTTACTCATTGTTTTGATTATAGTCATCCCTGCATATCTGTGGGTTGCACATCCATGGATTCAACTAGCTGTAGGTGGAAAGCATTCGGAGTTGGGAAGAAGGATGGTTTCATCTGTACTTAACATGTACAGAGTTTTCTTTCTTGTCATTATTCCCTATACAATATAACAACTATTTACATAGTATTTACATTGTATTGGATATAAGTGATTTTAGAGATGACTTAAAGTATATGGGAGAATGTGCCTAGATTTTATGCAAATATGACGCCATTTTGTGTAAGGGACTTGAGCATCCATGGATTTTAGTATCCACAGAGAGGCTCTGGAACCAATCCTTCATGGATACCAAGAGATGACTGTACCTCCATATCTCTAAATAACGTTCTTATGCTATTATTTGTTGATTTACCAATTACAGACTTTTTGTATTAACTTTATTTTAAGAAGCTTGGTTCATATAGCCACCATTCCCACTTCTCTCTCCTGTTTTCCAGTGTAATTACATCATGAAGTTTTTTTTTTATTTCTATATCAGTTATCTTGGTAAATTGAAATAATGCCTTTGTTTCTTATTCTGTCAACTATAAGGTTGCAAAATTTATGCATATTATGACTATGTAAATATGTAGGGCCAATACAATACAAATGATTGTATTTGCTTTCTTATAAAGCCTTTTGTTTTTTCTGGAGTTTCTTTAATTGCCTTTTTTTACTTGCATTGTATGTCTTTATTGCATCCCTGTCTTCTTCGAGCTCCTTAAGCATAATATCAAATCTGTAAACCTCCTCTCGTCCTAGATTCTTCTCTTGCAGTCCTCTGTCCTTTCTTGCTCCAGTCTGGTGATTGCTTTCTTGGTCTCTGCACATCATTCCATACAGCCACCGTTCATGGTTGTTTCTTATTATTGATACTTTTTTCATAACATTCCTTTTTTTGTGATTGCAAGACCTTCTTGAATATCTGAGGATATGAATTATTAATTAGTTTTTTGGTTACACACTTTTTTTTTTTTTTTTTGAGACAGAGCTCACTTTGTTGCCAGGCTAGAGTGAGTGCCGTGGCGTCAGCCTGGCTCACAGCAACCTCAATCCCGGACTCAGCGATCCTACTGCCTCAGCTCCCGAGTAGCTGGGACTACGGCATGCGCCACCATGCCCGGCTAATTTTTTTTTTTTTTTTTTTTGAGCACAGAGTCTTGCTTTGTTGCCCAGGCTAGAGTGAGTGCCGCATCACCTAGCTCACAGCAACCTCAAACTCCTGGCTCGAGCATCCTTCTGCCTCAGCCTCCCTGGTAGCTGGACTACAGCATGGCCCACCATGCCGGCTAATTTTTTTTTATATAATATCTATTGGCCATGATTATCTTTCTAATATAGTAGAGACGGGGTCTCGCTCAGGCTGGTTTCGAACTCCTGACCTTGAGCAATCCACCCGCCTCGGCCTCCCAAAGTGCTAGGATTACAGGCGTGAGCCACCACGCCCGGCTGTTTACACACTTTGAATTTAATTATTTGGGGTATTTTATGTTGATGGTTGCATATCTATACATATAATTTTTTAATTGAGACATATACCCTACCTACAGTAAAATGCAGCCCATTTATATTTAACAATGAGGTAATAAAAGTTGACCAGGACTTCTGTACATGTAAATAGGGCTGTTGACTAGCAGGTTTCTGCTTTAGGGCAGGAGGTTCACGATTACTTTGAATGCCTCTTGAAGAGCCTCTCTGATCTTAGAAGGCATATTGTTTCTAGCTTGGCTGCCTGAAGCCAGTGCAGCCTCCTCTGCATTTACAGCTGCTCCCCATCATTTGCATTACTGCCTGAGCTCCCAGTAGTGGGATTGCTGGATCAAATGGTTAGGTCTAGTTTTAGTACTTTGAGGAATCTCCATACTGTTTTCCATAGGGGTTGTACTAATTTACATTCCCACCCAACACTGTATAAGCATTGCCTTTTCACCACATCTATCATTTTTTGACTTTTTAATGCCATTCTGACAGGGTTAAGGTGGGTATCTCATTGTGGTTTTAATTTTCATTTCCCCTATGATTAGTTATATTGAGCATTTTTCACATGTTTTTTCACATTTCTATCTTGTTTTGAAAAAAAATCTGTTCATGTCTTTTGCCCACTTTTTCATGGGGTTATTTGTTTTTTCATTGCTGATTTGAGTTCCTTGTAGATTCTGGAGTCCTTTGTCCCATGTATAATTTGCAAATATTTTCTTTTATTCTGTAGGTTGTCTGTTTAACTGATTATTTCTTTTGCTTTGCAGAAACTTTTTAGCTTAATTAAGTCCCATTTATTTATTATTATTTTGTTCGCTTTTGGGGTCTTAGACATAAATGTGTTGCCTATGTCAATTTCCTAAGTTTTCTTCTAGAATTTTTATGGTTTCAGGTCTTACATGTTAAGTCTTTAATCCATTTTGAGTTTTTATATATGGTGAGAGATAGTGATCCAGTTTCATATGGCTATCCAGTTTTCCCAGCACCGTTTATTGAATGGGGCGTCCTTTCCCCAATGTATGTTTTTGTTTGCTTTGTTGAAGATCAGTTGGTTATAGGTATATAGTTTTATTTCTGGATTCTCTATGCTGTGTTCCATTGATGTGTGTCTACTTTTATACCAATATCATGCTGTTTGGGTTACTATAGGCTTGTAGTATAATTTGAAGTTGGATAATGTGAGGCCCCAGCTTTGTTCTTTTTTGTTAGGATTGCTTTGACTATTCAGGCTCTTTTTTTCTTCCATGTGAACTTTAGGATTGTTTTTTTCAATTCTGTAAAAAGTGACATTGGTATTTTGATGGAAATTGCATTGAATTCGTAAATCACTTTGGGCAATATGGACATTTTAACAATGTTGATTGTGCCAATCCATGAGCATAGGGTGTTTTTCCATTTGCTGGTGTCATCTACGATTTCTTTTATCAGTGTTTTGTAGTTCTCCTTGTAGAGATCTTTCATCTCCTTGGTTAAGTATATTCCTAGGGTTTGTTTTTGTTTTTTGCAGCTATTATAAATGGTATTCAGTTCTTGATTTTGATTCTCAGCTTGGCTGTTATGAGTGTTTAGAAATGCTACTGATTTGTGTACATTAATTTTGAAACCTGAGAATCTACTGAATTTATCAATTCCAGAGTCTTTTGGTAGATTCTTTAGGATTTTCTAGATATAAGATTATATCACTGACAAACATGGATAGTTTGACCTCTTTCCTGATTTGGATGGTCTTTATTTCTTTCTCTTGCCTGATTGCTCTAGCTAGGACTTCCAGTGCTTTGTTAAACAGAAGTGGTGAAAGTGGACATCCTTGTCTTGCTCCAGTTCTTATAGGGAATGCCTTCAACTTTACCTCATTCACTATGTTGTTGGCTGTGGGTTTGTAATGTATGGCTTTTATTTTTTTGAAGTATATTTCTTCTCTGCCTAGTTTATTGAGGGTTTTTATCATGAAGCTTGCTGTATTTTTTTTTTTTTTAAGATAGAGTCTTGTGCTATTGCCCCGGCTACTGTGCAGTGGCATCAGCCTAGCTCACAGCAACCTCAAACTCCTGGAGCCAAGTGATCCGCCTGCCTCAGCCTCCTGAGTAACTGGGACTATAGGCACACGCCACCACACCTGGCTAATTTTTCTATTTTTTGTAGAGATGGGGTGTTGCTTTTGCTCAGGCTGATCTTGAACTCCTGAGGTCAAACAATCCTCCTGCCTTGGCCTCCCAGAGTGCTAGGATTACAGGCATGAGCCATTGCACTTGGCCTGGGTTTTATCATATGCTTTTTCTGCATTTATTGAGAGAATCATATGGTTTTTGTTTTCAATTCTTTTAATGTGGCGAATCACATTTATTGATTTGTGTGTGTTGAACTATTCTTGCATTCCTTCAATGAAACCCTCTGATAGTGGTGAATTATCTTTTTGCTGTGCTGTTGGATTTGGTTTGGTGGCTTTTTGTTGAACATTTTTACATCTGTGTTCATGAAGGATATTGGTCTGTAGTTTTCTTTTTTGTTATGTCCTTTCCTGGCTTTGGTATCAAAGTGATATTGGCTTTGTAGAATGAGTTAGGGAGGATACCCTCCTTCTCAGTGTTATGGAACAGTTTCAGTAGGATAGGTGCCACTTTTTCTTTGTAGGTCTGGTAGAATTCAGTTGTGAATCTTTCTGGTCCAGGGCTTTTTTTTTGGGATTTATTTTTATTACTCAGTCAATATCACTACTCCATATTGGTGGTTCAGGATTTCTATTTCTTCCTGATTCAAGCTTGGGAGGGTGTGTGTTTCCAAAAACTTACTCATTTCCTCTAGATTTTCTAGTTTGTATGCATAGAGGTGTCCGTAGCAGTCTTGGATGATCTTTTGTATTTCTGTGGTATCCAGTTGTAATGTCTCCTTTTTCATTTCTTTTTTTTTTTTTTCTGTAGATCTTGTTTCTGAAACCTTTTTCATTTCTGATTGAACTTGTTTTGAATCCTCTCTCTTTTCTTCTTGGTTAATCTAGCCAGTAAGGCCCCCTACTTTTGCTTATTTTTAATTTTTATTCTTTTCTCCTGTGTTGATTTATTGTTTTTTCTCATTTCTATTCTCCTGGCTATCTACTCTTTATTTGAACTGACTCATCTCTCAACATATTTTATAATGAGCAAAATTTGTGATATATCTAGAACTTCTATGTATTTATATCAGATAACCTAGCTTCTAGCATAGCTTGGTGAAATTAAGTGCCTGATTGTTTAGTTTAGTTTAGTTGATATTACCTGTATGTTTCAAAATTTTATGTTGGGGTAATATTATTGGATAGATCATCTGACTTCTCATTTTTTATGTTCTTCTTTCTAGCAATCTGCAGAGCGCTGTGTAAGCACATTGCTCGATCTAATCCAGACCAAAGTAAATTATGTTGTCCAAGAGGCAATTGTTGTCATCAGGGACATCTTCCGCAAATACCCCAACAAGTACGTCCAAATACTTTTGCCTCTCTTCCTCACATCATTTAGGAAATGTTTAAGTAAGGTATTTTAAAATTGGCTAGGTAACAATTATTCTTTTTAATGTGAATAATAGAATACTATTAAAAATCAGAAACATATAAAGGGGTTAGCACAGGGATTAAACTTGAGTTTTTAATCTGCTTTATTTCTTTTAGAATTGAAACTCTGCCTAAATATGCTTTGTCTATTGGCATATATTAAAGTTAACCAGATTCTTTGGTGGCAAAGTTACCATTAAACAGGATTCCTGTATATTCCAGGTTGTCTGGGTATAATCTCAGTTTATGCCTGTTATCCAAACATAATTAATGATTATGAACCTTTTTCTCAGAAATGTCTCGGTTTAGATAATAAAATCATACCCTGCCATGAAAGCCAGGAATGTAATGGCTATGCCTTTCACTTAGCATGTTACCTGCTGTTTGGGGGAAAATTACAGAACATGTAACAAATTATCAATCTTAGGTCTTGTCTGAACTGTTAAAGTGCTTGTATAGATATGCAAAATTTATATTTTCACTCTACAAATTTTCTAGGTTGAGGCCTCTTAGTTTATAAAGCAAAAATACTGTTTTAGGTTTGATTTTGAAAACAAGTAATTAAGGAATCTGAAAATGAAGAAAGAACTGGTCCTATAAGCATCCTAAATCTCATTTTTCCTTACAATCATAGAGATGTCTTATACCAAAGCTTCTGATTAATCTTTAAAGATAGTGTTAAATGAAGCAACTTATAGTAAGTTAGCTTAGTGGTAGGCTCATAAATTAGTAGAAATATTTTGGCAAGGTAGTGGTTTATTTAGCATTGTATATATTTTTTTAAATTTTATAGAAACAGTATTTTAGGAAATATAGTTTTACCATTCTCCCAGGAAAGAGTAGGGTTGGGTTTCTAAACTTCTTTTTTAATTAATTATTATTATTATTTAAAGAGACAGAGTCTCACTGTGTTGCCCAGGCTATACTCTAGCTACTGAGCTCAAGCCTGCCAAGTAGCTGGTACAGGTGCACACTGCTGCACCTAGCTTTTAAACTTCTTGATTAAAAGTGGAGACATGTATCTTAATATCATTGGCAGGGAAATGTATCCATTTCTATTTTATGTTAATAAGGTAAGGGGTTATGATAGTTTACTTGTAAGAAAACTTAGAGCCTGGTTTATTCACTGGAAGTAGGGCAGATAATTAAGTATACCATTCAGTTGTCCACATCTAATTTATTATCAGTGCCATTCTGATGTTTAAAACTATATCACACAAGGAAATGGATTCAGCATAGTAAATATGAGAAAGCTATGGGTCTTTAAAAAGCAAGTATTTGAATTGTTTCTTTGGAGAAAAAAGTCATTAGTGAGGGTATCCTGAGAAGAGAGAACACAAAGAATATCTCTTTTATAAAGATGAGAGATAGGTGGATTAAGGGACAATTACCATTTTTCTAGTCTGGGTACTGTTGTTGTCTAATTTCTTTTGCCTAAAAATAAATTGAAAATTCTATTCCTCTCTATCATGAAGGCAAAATGGAATAATAGGAAAATTCTCTGATCTTCTCATAAGAAAAATTGTTAACTTTGACTCAAATGGTACAAAAGCAATTTATGTAACCAAAATGTTTTTGCCTCCATAATATTCTGAAATTTAAAAAAATAAAATCACTCAAAGTTTTTTTTAAAAAAAGAAATACAAGATAGTGATATTATCTTACATAATGAGTTAATTTTCCTTGTAAAAAGAATACCTTATGAGTTTTTATAAAGGTTTATGATCTAGTTATTAAAACATAATTGCAGGGAAATATAAAACATTTGTAATTTTCTGTGAGCTGGGCAATGTGGCTCATGCCTATTGTCTCAGCTACTTGAGAGGCTGAGGCAGGAGAATCGCTTCAGCCCAGGAGTTTAAGATTGCAGTGAGCTATGTTTGTGCTACTACACTCCAGCCTGGGCAACAAAGCAAGACCCTGCCTCTTAAAAAAAATTTTTTTTAAAGACATTTTATGAGTCTTCTGACTTAAAATCTATACATTCTCTAGATCAGTCATCCTCAAACTATGGCCCGTGGGCCACATGCGAGTGTTTTTGCCCGTTTGTTTTTTTACTTCAAAATAAAATATGTGCAGTGTGCATAGGAATTTGTTCATAGATTTTTTTAAACTATAGCCTGGCCCCCAGCGGTCTGAGGGACAGTGAACTGGACCCTGTTTAAAAAGTTTGGGGACCCCTGCTCTAGAGTAAAAGAGAGAATAGTTTGGCAGTTTGGTGTAGACTCCCTTGTTTGTGGTTTTGCCTTTAGCCTTCACTATTAAATACAGTTCTTAGTTTTGCCTTCAGTGACTATAGTCCCTTTTTTAATATCAGGTATGAAAGTATCATTGCCACTCTATGTGAGAACTTAGACTCACTGGATGAGCCAGATGCTCGAGCGGCCATGATTTGGATTGTGGGAGAATATGCCGAAAGAATTGACAATGCAGATGAGTTACTAGAGAGCTTCCTGGAAGGTTTTCACGATGAAAGCACCCAGGTAAGTGCTCATCTATCCCATTAATCCTAGATCTCTCTGGGAAGATTTGAGAAAAAGTAAAAGTATCTTCTGGGTCTGTGTATGTATTTCTGTATTGTATGTTCATTTTTCCCCCAAAATGGATGAACCTTTTCAGTTGTCTTGATTTCTAGTGTATCAAACCTGTATAACTTAGATCAGTGGTTCTCAAACTTTAATAAACATTAGAAACAACTGGAGGGCTTGTTAAAAGCACAGGTTGCTGGACCTCACCCTTTAGAGCAGGCGTCCTCACACTATGGCTCATGAGCCACATGCTGGTATTTTTGCCCATTTGTTTTTTTACTTCAAAATAAGATATGTGCAGTGTGCATAGGAATTTGTTCTTTTTTTTTTTAAACTATAGTCTGGCCCTCCAACAGTCTAAGGGACTTATGCACAGTATAGCTTCCGGCAGGGAATGTGTATTCTCCAAGTCATTCTTAACTTTTAGACTAGACAAGCAGTATAGCATGGTGGATAAGAACATGGACCCTGGAGCCAGACTACCTGAGTTTGAGCCCTAGCTCTGCCCCATACTAACTGGACCTCTCTGGCCCCCTGTTTAAAAAGTTTGAGGACCCCCACTTTAGAGTATCTGACTCAGTAGGTCTGAGATGGGCCTAACTGTGCATTTCTTAAAAGGTTCAGAGTGCTGCTGCTGGTTCAGAGCCACACTTTGGCAACCACTGGCTTAGAGCAGTAGTTACCACTTTTTATTTTCTGTCACCTAAGGATGATTACACATTTCTGTTAGTAATGGCTGGGGCTCATGACAGCAGAGATTTTCACCTGGGGCTGCAGTGAGGTTTGAAGAGATTTTCTGTGGATGATTTCTTCTATCCAAAATTAAAGCCATGGGCCCAGAGAAGCAGATAAATTATTAAGCCCTTTTTCCCTGGTGTTTGTACTCATGGCAAATAGAAGTTCATGTATATAGTTCACCATAGTAATTTTAATAGACCTAACACAAGGAATACATACAAACCAGTAGCTTTGTGGTTTAGCAGCCTATTCTTAATTGACTGTGATCTGACATAGTTCTGCTGTCTTGATTTTTGCCCCAGTATGACAGTATGACATAATTCCCCCAAAATTCTTTTAGTAGAAGTAAGTAATAAAAGACTTGGAACCAGTTTTATCACCATCTGTATGTTAGTATGTACCTAAAAAAAAAAAAAAAGATAATTATCTGTCCCAGAAACAATTTTTGGTGCCAGAAATGCATTTTGAGTATAGGAGGCTAGTGAGCTTTCAGTTGAATACCTTTGTATTTCAGATGAATGCTTTTGACTGCTATTGTTGATGTTGGCTGAGGTTTAACCTTTTTCTTGTAACCAATATCAGAAAAGCCCTATAATAATTCATAGTTGAGGAAACACCCCTTTGGAGATGAGGGCAAGGAATAATGCCAATGTCATTCTTTCACTTTATCAAATTATTTTTGTTTAGGTGCAGCTCACTCTGCTTACTGCCATAGTGAAGCTGTTTCTCAAGAAACCATCAGAAACACAAGAGCTGGTCCAGCAGGTGTTGAGTTTGGCAACACAGGTAAGAAATCTGGAAAAAGTGAGAGGTTGGTTTTTTTTTGTTTGTTTGTTAGTTTTGGAGGGGAGAGAGTTTAACTGAAAGAGTTACAGCCTTTAGATCTTATTAAAATATTAAAACAATGCCTAACATGTTTCACTGAATTATAGCTGGTTGTATGTCTTTTAAATGATTTGGCTGGCTCCAGTTTTCATGGTGATTCATAAAAATTTAACATAGACTCTTAAGTGTTAATGAAGGACATACTTATGTGAGAATGACATTGTCTGATAGCAGTACCTCCTTCTGGGTGACTTCATTTCAGCTTTCAAACAAAAGTACCATGTGGAGATGGTAGATGCCTCAACAAAGTTTCATGTGTTGTTCTACCTTCTAGAGTAGTTGCCTAGTTGCCTTTCTCTTAAAATTTACTTTTACATTTTTATATATTTATTTATTTATTTTGAGATAGGGTCTAAATTCTATTGCCCAAGGTAGAGTGCAGTGGTGCTGTCATAGGTCACTGCAACTTCAAACTCCTAGGCTCAAGTGATCCTCCTGCTTCAGCCTCCTGAGAGCTGAAATCACACGCCTGCGCTGCCATGCCCATCTAATTTTTCTATGTTTCGTAGAGATAGAGTCTTGCTGTATTGCTCAGGCTGGTCTGGAACTCCTGGCCTCAAGCAATACTTCTGCCTTGACCTCCCCAAATGCCAAGATTATAGTCATGAGCCACCATGCCTAGCCTCTTGGAGATAATTTTAAAGTGCTTAAATTATTTGATATTTTTGGCCGTCCTTGGAATTACTTGATATTTTTGGTCAGAAGAAAAGAGGCTTAGATGGATTCTGAATTCAGGAATGTGGCGACTCACTTTAAAGATCAGGTCATCATTTTAGATATATAGAAATCAAAGTAATTACTTTTTCTAGTGTAACTAGTGTAATAATTATCAGTCCATCATGATTTAGTAATGTTCTTAATTAGACTTGAGAACAAGCTAGATTTAACAGGCTATGAGAGTTAAGATTATATCTGCACATGGAATAGGATTCAGATATTCGATTGACCACTTTCTCTCATCATCTCTCTTTAATGGTATATTATCAAAATTTAAAACCATTTCATAGTATTTTGTCTAGTTTTAAGCTGTCATTTTTCTATTTTTAATACATCTTCTAAAAGTTTATAAGAACTTTTTAAAGTATTTTTTTAAAACTTTCTTAAGCATCTTCCTTTGCTTGAAGCACAGCAATTTCCATAAGCATCAGTGGTTATTTATTTATTTATTAGAGACAGGGTCATGCTCTGTTGTCTAGGCTGGAGTTCAGTGGTATGCTTATAGCTCACTGTGGCCTCGAACTCCTGGGCTCAAGCAATCATACCCAGCTAATTTCTTATTTTCCTTCTTTTTGGTAGAGACAGGGTCTTGATTTGCTGCCCAGGCTGGTCTCAAACTCCTGGCCTTCTGCTTCACCCTCCCAGAGTGCTGGGATTACAGGCATGAACCACTGCGCCCAGCTGGTTATTTTTTGTATTGAATTGAGCATTCTAGACTTCGTTTGTCTAGATCCTTGATTAATCCATTTGTATCTCTGTTAAGATGAATTCAAACAATTTTTCCTTTTTTTTCCTTTGCACTCTATGTTTTAATTTTAAACTTTAAGTGGTCACATAGAATGACAGATTGGAGTAATTCACATTCTGTCAAAAACAATTTCTAAAGAGAATTTGGCCTTGCTGCCTCTCTGCTCACCTGTAAATATTCAAGCAAGTGTCTTTGATAGTTTCCATTGTTTTCACAAGTTCTAAACCCTGTCTTCATTGCCCATGTGTTTGTATTTAACAGGCAGCACAGTTGAGTTGTGTTTTGAGTTCTTGTCAGAATTCAAACTCAATCTCATTACCTCCCAGTATTTATCAAAATTTGACTGAGATTAAAGTGTTTAGAGAGACTTGCTTACAGGATACAAGGTAGCACCAGTCTTATAGGTAGTCTGAAATTCACCTCTGAATCAAACCATATTAATAGAGACCAGAGCACCTAGACAGTGTCGTTTTTGACCCCCAAAAGAATGGCTTTTACTCAGTTACACTGACACCATTAGCCTGTAGTAAAAGATCATCATGAGAAACTATCTTATTTGAATCTGTTGTCAGTTTTATCAAAATTGTTTATTCCATTATGTATTTTCTTCTTTATGACAACCTGTCAAATTCCTAACAAGTTTTGGATTTTCTTGTGTATTGGTGTGTAGTTGATTGCCCTTCTGAATGTCTTACCTAATCAGATACCTTTTTCATATTGGTGCTTTAAAACCTTAGAATCAAATGTAAGGATCTCCCATGGTAAGGTCATTGTGACAGGTCATTGTGACATTCATTATTCTGCCTCTAGTTGTTTTTTTTTTTTTAAGAGAAGTGTCTTGCTCTGTCACACAGGCTAGAATGCAGTGACGTCATAGTAGTTTACTGAAACTTCTAACTCCTGGGCTTAAATGATCCTCCCACCTCAGCCTTCTGAGTATAGAGTATCTGGGACTATGGGCGTGAGCCACCTCGCCCAGCTAGTTTTTTTGTTTTGTTTTGTTTTGTTTTTGTAGAGACAGGATCTTACTATGTTGCCCAGGCTGATCTCCAACTCCTGGCCTCAAGCAGTCCTCCCACCTTGGCCTCCCAAAGTGTTGGGATTATAGGCGTCAGCTGCTAGCTCTAGTTTTAATTCTTGCTTTCTAGCCTTAGATGCATTTTCATAAGCTTTGCTAAATCTTTTTCTAGAGCAGAACAAGGTATTAACTCCCTTAATTTTAATAAAGGTTGGTATTGTTACTATTCCTGTTTTATACATGAGGAAACTCAAAGACACAGAGAGGTCCAGTTAGTATGGGGCAGAGCTAGGGCTCAAACTCAGGTAGTCTGGCTCCAGGGTCCATGTTCTTATCCACCATGCTATACTGCTTGTCTAGTCTAAAAGTTAAGAATGACTTGGAGAATACACATTCCCTGCTGGAAGCTATACTGTGCATAAGCCAGTATGTATGTACGTTTTTTCTAGTTTTAAGATCTTTGTGGATAATTATTTTGTATTTCGCTATAAATAATTAATAAGCAATTTCTCTAGGCTTGCCTTTTCTGTTTTATTAATTAATGAGGTCTGAGGAGTTATAAAAGAATGAGCACACTTATGTAAGTCTTTTCCTCTGGAAGTTTTCTCTTTTTTTCTCAAGTTTGTGAAATAAGAACCTAATATTTATAGATGGTGAGTACCAATTTAAATTAAGGGCATTGTGGTCCACAAAATTCTATAAATTTGAATTGAGTTGTGAGGTTCTGTTTCTGCCATTTCTACTGATTCAGGATACAACTGAGCAAATTTCTTTTTCACAGTGCTTTTGTTTTCTCTTCAGTAGAGTTAATTAATACTATTCTTTACCTGTGCTTAGAATTAAGTGAAGTATATGTGAAATTTTAGTGCTTTCAATTTTAAATAAAATAATAGTATAATGACAGATATCATTAGGAGGAAAAAAACCAACCCTGAATCCAAGGCTTCATTTCAAAGTTTTGTCTTTTTTGTTGTGATAGTGATTTTCTTACCAACGTAAAGTAATTAGTAAAGAATACACACAAAAGTGTCTAGAGTTTAGAAATTATCCTTTGTAGTGCTTGGAAGAGAAGTTTTCATCTTGGTTTTTCTACCTAGGAACTAGTGACCACCATCATCAAAATGACCTGGTCTGCTTGTTAAAAATACTAATTCTTAGGCTCTATTTCTGACATAAGGAAACAGAATCTTGGTTATTATTGCCCTTGGGTTCTGCACTTTCTTTTTCTTCTTCTTTCTTTTAGAGTTGAGGTTTTGCCCAGGCAGGAGTGCAGTGGCACGAACGTAGCTCACTGCAGCCTCAAATTCCTGGACTCAAGTGATCCTCCCAGCTCAGCCTCCTGAGTAGTAGCTGGAACTACAGGTGTGGCCTCAAGCAATCCTCCAGCCTTACCAGGGTGCTGGAATTACAGGCATGAGCCACCACACCCAGCCGGGTTCTGTGCTTTCAGTGACTTTCCTGGTGTGTTAAAAATGTTGATGCATATTATAGTTTAAGGATTACTGTTTTAGAGCTTGCCTGGAAAGGATTGTTTTGGAAGCTCCTCCCCTGAGAAGGGCCTATGGGGCTGTCAGTACAGTAGATCCAAAACCAAACTTTTTGTGTCACCAAACATTTAATGGCAACTGAAGATTGTAAAAAGGTTTTGGTTTTTTATTTATCACAAGTCTTGACTGGGCCTGACTTCTTAGGGCTCTATGTGAATAGTGAGGCAGTTAAGGCCAGCTTACAGTCAGCCCGGCAAATCATCCCTCATAAAAATAGAGTTTGAGCATTAGGAGATCCATCCTTACTCTTTCAGTCTTGGGAAATTTCTCATAAGATTTCTCATGAGATTATATTTTTTAAGTCACTATCTAATTAGATTTACAATGTGCGTACCTTTTGATCCAGTAACTATCTCTAGCAGTTTACCCTGTTGCAGCATTTTGAATTTATGGGGTACTCTCAAACTTTTTGCACAGAAATATATAATTTTGTGAATTCTTACAGGAATTTTTCTTTTTTCTTTCCTTCCTTCCTTTCCTTCCTTTCCTTCCTTCCCTTCCTTTCTTTCCTTTCTTTCTTCCCTCTCGCCTTCCTTTCCTTCCTCCTTCCTTCCTCTCCTTCGCTTCCTTCCGTTCCTTCCTTCCTTCCTTCCTTCCTTCCTTTCCTCCTTCCTTCCTTCTTGTCCTTTTTCCTTTCCTCTTTCCTCCCTTTCCTTTCCTTTCCTTTCCTTCCTTCCATTTCTGTTCCTTTCCTTCCTTTCCTTTCCTTTCCTTTCCTTCTCCTTTTCCCCGGCGGGCCGTTGTGGGGGGGGCTGCTGAGTTTCCTTTCCTTTTGCCTTTCCGCCTTTCCTTGCCCCTTTCCGTTTCCCCGCTTTGCCGTTTCCCCTGTTCCTGTTCCCCTTTCCGTGTTCCGCCTCTCCGTAGCTCCTCTCCTCTCCGGTCGTGCCGTTTCGTCGCGTGCGGCCGTGTGTCGTCGCGTGCTCGCTGTGTCTCCGCTGCTCCGTTTGCTGCCTCGGCCTGGCGCGGTGCTTGCTCGCCTGAGACGTGCGCTTGTCGTCCGTGCTCGCTTGTCTCCTCTCCTTTCTGCCTCCTGCGCTGTCGCTCTGGCCGTTACTCTGCACGTGCTCGTGGGATGTGCTCCGTCTCGGCGTTTCGGGCCTGTCTCCAGTCTGCCTCTGCGCCTGGTTCGCGTGCCTGCGGCGTCGCTTGATCCTGCGTGCCTCGGTGCGTTCTGCTCTCCTGAGCGTTCCGTCTCGCATCTCCTAGCGTCCTGAGGCGCGCTGCTCCGTGCAGTCCGTCGTGCGCGTCTCCGTGCTGCGCGTGTCCCTCCCCTCGTTCTCCCCTCCCGCGTCCCCTCCCTCCCTCCCCTCCCTCCCCTCCCTCCCCTCTCCTCTCCCTCCTCTCGCTCGTCCTCTTCCCTCCGCCTTTCTCCTTTCCTTTCCTCTGTCCTGTCCTTTCCTGTCCTGTCCTTTCCTTTCCTGTCCTGTCCTTTCTCCTGTCCTTTCCCCTTTCCTTTTCCTTTTCCTTTTTCTTTTTTTGAGACAGAGTCTCACTCTGTTGCCCAGGCTAGAGTGCCATGGCATCAGCTTAGCTCACAGCAACCTCAAACTCTTGGGTCAAGTGATCCTCCTGCCTCAGCCTCCCAAATAGCTGGGACTACAGGCATGCATCACTATGCCTGGCTAATTTTTTCTATGTATTTTTAGTTGTCAAATTAATTTCTTTCTATTTTTAATAGAGACGGGGTCTCTCTCTTGCTCAGGCTGGTCTTGAACTCCTGAGCTCAAATGATCCACCCACCCTCCCAGAGTGCTAGGATTACAGGCGTGAGCCACCATGCCTGGCCAGAAATTTTTCTTTTTGGTCATTTGGTTAAATATATGCTTGACATATGAGAGAAATAATTTGAAGTAATAAGTATTTTTAATGAGTATATTATTATACCATGTAGTATAAAGTTTAATACCTTTAACAATATTACTAGTCCATAAAGACATACTGAATTTTCTGAGTTAATAAGACAAATGCAGTGTTTATTTTAATTGTGTAATAAAAAGCATAATTTGTCTATAAATTTTAAATGACATGTGCTTTGGGAACTGAATATATAGATTAAAATTTTAAGCTTTTAATTTGTATATCAAAAAGTGTGGAGGCGGAGTGTTGTTTTTCTGACCTAATATTTTGAGAAACTTGTATTCTGCTCTTTTAAAAAAATCAAATTATTTTTGTTTTATAATGTTAAACTTTGTTTTCAAATGAAGATCTAAGTGAGGAGGTTTAGGCTATTATTTATAAACAGGAACAAATTACTTGTCACCCCTCATGAAACTAAACAGAACCAACTAAAGTGTATATGATTATTACTGTTTTTTAAACCTGGCATTTCAAATACTAGAGACATTTTGCTATGATATCTATCTATCTTCTTATATATGTAAGAAGAAGGATAATGCAACCTATGAATGTGATAAAGATTATCTTTAAGTTTTCTATCTTAATGGTCTGTTAGCTTGCTGTATTGCAGCGTTCATTATGCTTTTAGTCTTTAACCAGCAATCCATTATGAGTGCAAATTAAACAATGTATGACTAAGAAAACCCATTTAAAACAATGTAGTCAAAACCATCAGGATGACTGCTGATATTGAGCTGAATGATAAGTACCTTAAGTGGCTAAATCATGAACCAATTCATCTGTTCACTTAGAAATTCATGTAGAAGCCCCCAAATTGTCCTAATTTAAATTAAAATTTTTTTTTTCTTTTCGAGTCAGGACAGGATCTCATTCTGTTGCCCAGACTAGAGTGTAATGGTGTCATCATAGCTCATTGCAACCTCAAACTCTTGGGCTCAAGCAGTCCTCCTGCCTCAGCTTCCCAAGTGGGATTACAGGTGTATATGATCGCACCTGGCTAATTTTTTTACTTTTTGCAGAGTTGGAGTCTCACTATGTTACTCAGACTGAGAAAATATTTTTGATTGTGTATGAAGTTTTAAATACAGAAATTGAAACAGAAACATATTGTTGCCTTTAATAATATGATGCCATTAGAACAACTTGTGCATAAGTAAATGCTATTGTATAGACATACTCTAAAAGGTAGATACCAGGATATTTATCACCACTTTGTAATGATCACAAAAATAATAAGTAAAAGGTAGGAAGACAGGATGAAAGAGGATGAAACAATCTAAATGTTCATCAGTGGGGGCTAGTATTAAATAAATAATGGTGCAATGAGGCATTACAGTGGAAAACTGCAGCTGTGTGTGTCAATATAGAAACCAACTTCGGAACAGTGTATATAATATGAGACTGGTTTTGTATAAAATAAATGTATGCGTGTTGGAGAGATGTCTGGACAGATAAATACCACACTAATAGTCATGGCTATTTGGGGGATGGGGGATTGAGATGGGGAGGAGTTGGCTAATTGGTGGATATTTTTTTTAAATTACACACTTAAAAATTGTGATGTGGTGTTGGTAATAATTTTTTTTTTTTTTTAGCCATGAACATCTATAAAATTATTTAAAAACCACCACAACAAAAAACAAAACCACTAAATTGGAAGTGCTTCCTTTTGGAAGCACTTAGTTATGTGCTTTTAATAGTTTTTGGTTATTTAGATAATAGTACCTCTCATACCATATTGAAATAATTAATATTCTGTGAGCTCCTTAAAGCCAGGCACCATGTGTTGTTATCTCTTTATTTCCAGGGCCTAGTCAGTGTCTCTATAGGAGATACTTAACAAATATTTGAAAGAAGAAAGAAGGTATGGGTGAAATATATATAAGATATAACGTGTTATAAATAATCCCACTAATATATATAGCAGTTTTTAAAACCATGAGTTTTGGCCGGGCGCGGTAGCTCACGCCTGTAATCCTAGCACTCTGGGAGGCCGAGGCGGGCGGATTGCTCAAGGTCAGGAGTTCGAAACCAGCCTGAGCAAGAGCGAGACCCCGTCTCTACTATAAATAGAAATAAATTAATTGGCCAACTAATATATATAGAAAAAAAAATTAGCCAGGCATGGTGGCGCATGCCTGTAGTCCCAGCTACTCAGGAGGCTGAGGCAGGAGGATCACTTGAGCCCAGGAGATTGAGGTTGCTGTGAGCTAGGCTAACACCACAGCACTCACTCTAGCCTGGGCAACAAAGCGAGATTCGTAACTTTGCTTTGAATTTGAGTCTTAGGACCAGCCTATCTCATTTTATATTTAAATTCCTTGAAACATTAGACATTATAGAATTATGACTGTATAAAAATTATATTGAGTCTAAATGAAATACCTTCTTTTTTTTTTTTGAGACAGAGTCTCTCTTTGTTGCCCAGGCTAGAGTGAGTGCCATGGCGTCAGCCCAGCTCACAGCAACCTCAAACTCCTGGGCTCAAGCAATCCTGCTGCCTCAGCCTCCCAAGTAGCTGGGACTACAGGCATGCGCCACCATGCCTGGCTAATTTTTTCTATATATATTAGTTGGCCAATTAATTTATTTCTATTTATAGTAGAGACGGGGTCTCGCTCTTGCTCAGGCTGGTTTGGAACTCCTGACCCTGAGCAATCTGCCCGCCTCGGCCTCCCAGAGTGCTAGGATTACAGGCATGAGCCACTGTGCCCGGCCTGAAATACCTTCTTAATAGCCAATCTGCATGAATCACTGTAGGATTTGGCTTGATAATAAGTCCAGCAGTTTGGATTTCTGTATGGAGAACTCTTCCATCTAACCCTTTCTTGCTTTTGCCTTTTCATTAGGATTCTGATAATCCTGACCTTCGAGACCGGGGTTATATTTATTGGCGCCTTCTCTCAACTGACCCTGTCACGGCCAAAGAAGTAGTCTTGTCTGAGAAGCCACTGATCTCTGAGGAGACAGACCTTATTGAGCCAACCCTGCTGGATGAGCTAATCTGCCACATTGGTTCTTTGGCCTCTGTGTACCACAAGCCCCCCAATGCTTTTGTAGAAGGAAGTCATGGAATCCATCGCAAACACTTGCCAATTCATCATGGAAGGTAAGCAGGTGTGAACTAGGTTTGACTCTTTGTTTAGAGTTGGTCTTCTTCATACTTTTATAGCCTGGAAAAGAACTTGCTGTGCATTTTACAAACCTACTATTAATACTATATTTTCCTGAGAACTCTATCTGAATACCAGTGACCACACATACAAGGGCTGAAAGGCTCCTCTGTATTCCAATCTAGGAGTACAATTTTTAGAAAATTTTGGTGAATAAGACCTTCTAAATTGATAGAGTTTGAAAGGTGCTTAAGTTTACAGTAAGAAGAAGCTAGAAATATTCCCAGAATTGAAAACTTAGGAAAAAGCCTGTATGTACATTTCTGTCTCTATGCTTTACTGTAACTCTGGTTGAGGCTTATGGATAAAGTTAGCAATTGCTAATTTTTCTTATTCTGTAAAGCTATTAATGAAATAATATTTGCAGGATCATTTTATAAAAACAGCCTAAATTCTGTGTGGACATAGTTTTTACCCAATTATATTGATCGTATCAGTAAGGAAATAGTGATAAACAGGCTCTCAGGTAACATGGAGCTCTTGCTTTGTAGCTATCTTAAAATTTTAATTAGGAAGAAGTATCTGAATCCTTCATTGATCATAATAAACCTTAAATGTAAGTAGAATTTGCTCCCAGAGAAGTTAGAATAATTGGGCTTCCATTAATGGTACAATTCTTGTACCATTGTCTAATGTGTATTATTGTTTAAGTGGTTCATGAGTGGCCAGAGCGTAGGATTTATTGCTTTACAAATTGGTGTAGTCAGTATTTTGGGCTCTATTTAAACAGACTGTGGGCATAATCAAACAGAATGGAAAGGGCAGCACCCAAGAAAATGATTACTAATTTTTTGTGGCCTGTAATTGAATTTTTGGTTTTAGGGCAGGTACTATGATTTTAACCTAAAAGAGACATGTAGTTTCACAAGGATTAAGCCTTATAATCAGTTACGGTGTTTCTCCTTGTAGGCAAGCGTGTTCAACGTTGTGTAGATACAACTGTTTTACTTCTAAGAATTTCTCTCAGTCTTTGCTTCAAGTTTTGATATAGATATGCATTTTCTGTTGAAACTTGCCTCTGTAACCGTCTTTACGTACCATGCCTTCTCTCCGGATACTTTTTGATCCTCAAATGGGAGGGAGAAATGAAACAAATCAATAAACAGAAACAACCCTTTCTTAAGCACAAGAAAAGAAACAGCATTTAAACAAAAAGAGACACAGTCTCTTAACATAAGATCTTTATCTGAGTAATAGCCTTTAATTTGTTAACTTAACAGTTCCTTATGTGGTTCCTTTTTGGATAACCTCCTTTAGTCCATTTGTACATGTTTTGTGTTTTTAAAAGGAAATACAAATATAGAAAAAAATCCCCTTTGAGATAAATAGTAATGATATGCTGCAAATGGCATGTCTATAATAGTATTGACATTACTTAGCTCTCTTCTGCAGCATAAGGTTAAGTGATATGAAATGAACACTTTAAAACTTTATTCTGCCTCTTCTAGAGATTTAAAATGCTTCACTAGGTCTTTTAAAGTCACTTGGGAAAGAGAGAAGTGCTTTTTACTTGGGTATTACTTACTGTGCTTATACTTGTCAGCTTCTCTATGAGGGTGAGGTGGTAAACAGTTGTCTAATTTGGAAAATCTCAACTTTTTAAAAATATTGCTTTGATGACCATTTTATAGTTATTTCCCATGAGTTCACAATGGGAAATGTTTTCATATTTCTCATATTTTCTGTTTAGGAAGAATGTACCCTAATGATATATCATGTTCTTAACTTGTAGAATCTACAGGATTATTTACTTCTTTTCATCTAACTCACTTTATCTTCTCATAAGAAAAATATGTGCATTGATACCTATTCTATCTTCTGTTTAGAGGTACTGATAAATGCATGTGTTCTGTTACATTTTCTAAATGGCACATGTCATAAGACCTTCTCCCATGTCTCTTAAGAAGTTCTTAATTCTAATGTTCTTAATTTTAATGAAGTCCAATTTATCATTTTTTTTCTTTCATGGTTAGTGCCTTTTGTTGAAACTATTATTTATTCCAAAGTTGTAAAGGGTGCTAGGTTTTCAACTAGGTTTTACTCTTCACATTTATGTCTGATTTATCTCAATTTTTCTTTATGTTGTGAGGTATAGGAGTCAGGGTTCAGTTTTTCCCCATATAGCTAGCTATCCAGTTGACCCAGTACCACTTATGAAAAAGATATTCATTTCTCCTGCTAGTCCTTTTAATATCTCTTGGAACTCACCAGTTTGTTTTTGTTTTTACAGCTTGTTGGGCTTTTATTATTACACATATAGTTGTAATTACAAAATAGTTGATGATAGTAGCAGTTTAGGTTACTCTTAGCTGATCTTCATGTCCATTCTCCCAATTTCAGTTCATTATACATACAGCTGCTAGAATGATGTTATTTTTAGTTTTTGTTCTTTGTTTAATAAATAAATTCTGTATTTCCTAGCATATCAAAAATTAACTCTCCAGACTGATTATCTAAGTTCCTCTTCCCTGATCCTCTCTTCCCCAAAATCTTACCATTCACAATCTCTATTCCTGCCAGTGTAACTTTTTTGCCACCCCTAAAGTCAAATTATTCATTTTTGTGCCTTTGCCTCCCCCTCTCTTTGGAGGTCTCTCTCTGGTAGTTCCTCATAAGACCATTCTGAGAAGCTTTTAGAATCAGCACCCCCGGTTTTCTTTTCCTTCTCTCCTATACCGTTAGTATGCAGACACACAATACTTGTTGCTGCTGTTACATAGTAAATTTGCTTTTCAGTCATTTTGTAAATGCTGATTTTTTTGTTAGTGCATAAGTTATTTGAGGGTAGGAATCATATATTTCCCCTTATAGTTTCTATAGAGAACCATGGAATGCTTCTTACAGTGTTCCCTCATAGATACTCAGTTAAAATTGACTGACTGATGAGGTTACATAATGTAATTTGTTTTCATTTTAACAACTGTGTTTTGATGAGAGCTAGAATTGCTGTGACCTCTTCATGAACATGAACCTCAAAAGGTTATAAAATAAGAGGATTTTTTCCTCTTCTGTTTTATATTAGTTAGTTATATATTTGACATCCATTTGTTGCCTTATTGTTATATCGTAGATGAAACTGACTTTTTTCTTTTCTCCTCTTGTGTCCATGTGACAACAGCACTGATGCAGGTGACAGCCCTGTTGGTACCACCACTGCTACCAACCTGGAACAGCCTCAGGTTATCCCCTCTCAAGGTGACCTTCTGGGGGATCTTTTAAACCTTGACCTTGGTCCCCCAGTCAATGTGCCACAGGTATCCTCCATGCAGATGGGAGCAGTGGATCTCTTGGGAGGAGGACTAGATAGTCTGGTAAGTATCTTTTTGCCCCCTTCCTTTTGGTTTATTTTCAGTTCTTGGTATGCTAGAGAACTTTAAATTATTCAGCTTTGTAGAACTAGACCTTTCCTTGTTGAGCAGTAATGTCCTTTGATAAAGGACAGGATTATTTGTCTTTAGAAAGTTAATTATACTGTTGATCATCGGTAATAGGGTATATCTACAAGCATATGGGATTATTTTATTTTCCTGCCTCTAAATAGAGCTTTTGATATTTAACCAACCTATTGTTTAGGAACCTTAGTGTTTATTGTCCTTTCCAGAGTTCATTATTGCTGCTGCTGCTTAACTGTGGATAACCCCCTATTTTTGACCCAAACAGCATTAAAGAGGTCTTGTACAGATCATCCTATTCTGAGGCTTTCAACCTTTGCCTTTTTAAATTTTGTTGACTTATGCCCTAATTCTGAAAGGTTTCTAGGCAGCCATTTGAGCCATTTTTGTACAAAATGTACTTTATTACAGTTGGGAAGGACTGCTTGATTGGTTCTTTTTTCCCCTTCCTCCTCCACCTGTTCTACCCTGTTATACTTCCAATTTAATTAGCTTCCAGGATTCTAACACTAAAAGGCTCCAAAGTCCAGAATATCTGTGATATGTGCCACCAATGGGAACCAAGATTATTTTCTGTTGCTGTCCAAGATAAATGAGAAATATTAAGGATGACCATCAATCTGTGGAGAGAAGGCCAGAAATAACAGGTCTCATCACATGACTCCCTGCAAACTAGGTACTTGACTGTGGTGGAATTAGGTGCTCTTTGAGCTAGACACTTGCAAATAAGATGTTTGTCAACCTGATGATTATAAAGGTGCTCAAGAATGATTTATATCTCAACATCACTGGAAGGCAGATATCATAGATATGAAAATATATGTCATCACAGATGATACAAAACAACCTTGCTTTCTGCTACATATACTTTATGAAGAGTAGTGTGTCTGGGGTTTATGCCAGCCAGTGCAGATATATTTCCTTGTTTGCTGGCAGAGAGTCTAAAAGGAATTAGGGTTATAGTCATATGTCTGTGGGGTTGTACATTTTACTAATGGAAAATCAGTGCTTCAAGAATCTATATGTTGACCAAGCTGTGGACTGCAGCTTAATATATTGACACAAGTGAGCTCTCCTGTTGTCTTTCTTGGGAATATAAGCAAATACTTTACATATTCATATCTTTAATGAATGGGATTTACTGATTGGATAAGCAGAATAGCTTCCTCATATGATCATTCTGCACTGCTGTATAGCCTCCTTATGAATATTTAAATATCCACAGAGGCTCCCAAAAGTCCCTTGTGAAATTAAAATAGCTCTTCCTTTTCTGTTGACACATCAGCCACAAGTTAAATATTGCAGCTGTCTCAAGTTATGCCATAACAACTCTACTTACTACTTTCCCTGGTAGCTTACTACAAGATAGACTCATTGAACCCAAGAGTGAAAAAGAAACTAAATTTGAAGGATGGAGGAGAGAAAGAGGCCCTGCATTTTGATGTTGACAGGCCCAGAATTCTACATTCTTGTTTCTTGACTCATTTTAGCATAGAAACAAAGAGACATGTTATTTCCACTTGACTTTTTGTTAGCTTTTGCCTACCCCCAAACCAATGAATTTGTCCTTATATTTTACATAGGTATCCAGTTATCTATTAGAATTCTGATAAGTTTTGCTTCAGATAGGATAGTTGTTAGAACTGCTTGGATTATATTTAATAGTAGTCAAAGTCACACACAGACGTTTTCCCTTTTTCTTTTTCTGTGAGGGATATTGTTTTTTGGGAGAGGAAGTAAGTTTTTCCAGTTGGATTTCTAAATATTATACAGGCTTTGCTAGGTAGGCCCAATTATGTTATTGTATAACTCTAAATTTTTACCTTTTCCTGATTTTGGGATTTAAATGATATCCTTGGTGGTATAACCCCCAGAAAGTGTTTACAGTACAATTTTCTTCTCCTTATTCTGAGATATAAACATATCCCAGAAATCAAAATGAGAAGGAATAAAAGCCCTTATTTTTGCTTTGGATCTGTATGTGGTTAAATATATATTCACTCAAAGAACCCAGATTCCTTTTATAAGAACATGGCAAGGAAGGCCCAAATCTGGCTGTGTGGAAGATGAGTTTCTAAGGCAGCAGTGGACCATGCCACTTTTAAAGTGCTTTCATTGTTAAATTATCTAATTTAAAGAGGAAAATAACCCTCAGTGTTGTCACTTTATATAGATAGTGCCATTTTTGAATGCATCCTTGTCTTAAAGTAGCACTTCTCACAACAAACTATAATATGCATGTGAATCTCCTAGAGATTTTGTACAAGAGACATTGATTTAATTGGTCTGGGGTGAGACCTGGGAGTCTGCATTTTTAACAGGCTCCCAGGTAATGCTGAAGCTACTGGTCCATGGGACCACATTTTGCATAGAATATCTGTGACCATCTGTGACCACTTCAGTATGGTCTTTCAAGTATAGCTGCCTAGGTACTCAGATGCCTTTTTCTCTTGACTTTAGTAGTAAACACAATCCTGGAAAGAGGGCTCCCCCCCTACCTCACATTAGTTGAGAGAGGGCAAGAAACTTGTGAAATTATTTTGTTAAAGCTCTTTCTTTTGCTCTCTAGGAAAAATAGTGTTGCTAGGAATGGTAGAATGTGACCCAAACGCCTATTTAAAATATGGCCAGCGTTAAAATTGTGTGGTGGTTTGGCAACAGTATTTAGGTTAGCTCAATGATCATTTCAGGAAGGCTATCAACCAGGCCTCTAGACTGCAGGGTTTCTAAGAGAACCTCACCCATAGAGGTCAGTGGTGTGCTGCTAATGAAATATTGCCTGGCAGTTACTAACTTCGATGATTCTCAACTCTAGCTGCACTATTAGTCCCATATTAGTACCATAAAAAAAATACTGTCAGTACTTGCGTCCAAGAGCAGTTTAACAAAACTTCCGGGAGGCAAGACCTAGACCTATTTTTAAAATGTTACCTAGATTACTTTAATTTTGCAGCTGGGGTTGAGAACACGGAGTCAAATAAAATTCTAAGTAGAGTTAAGTGGAGATATTCAAAGCTGATCTCTAAGCCAAGACAGTGACTTTTATAAAATAATTATATTCTGGAGAGCCTCTTTGGCCCCTCCTACAAAAACAGGCATCTCTGACTTCACATTTGTTCTTCCCGACCCAGGATATTTTTGCATTATGATTTTCTGTCAGGTGATCCACCCTATCAGAAGTTAGCGCAAGATGAATTTGACCAATTTAGATGTAGTTGCTCGGTCCCAGGATCTTTTTTTACCCTTGCTTACTTTCCATAATTGGAGACTGAAAATTGAGGACATTTTATATTTTGGACTGTCTAACCATTTTCTGTTCCTCTGACTTAAAACTTGATAGTCATCAGAGGATGTTTTTATCCTTTTTTCATAGCCTGGTGTTTCTGCCATTAGATCTTGTGCTATTTCGTCTTCTTTTATTATCATACTTATGCACTATTGAGATTTAGTGTATTGTGACCTTTTTCTAAAGCCATCATATTCCAGAAGTTCTTATCAATTTATTATTATTATTTGCCATAACATACCTGAAGCCTCCAGCCTTCTTTCCTCAATACTAGCGACTTGTAATATCTGTGATTCTTAAATCAAAGAGGAGAGTGGGGTGGGCATATTGCTGTGCCTCCCAGATGATTGATTCTTATATGCTTTTTAAAAGGAGGCAGTCACTTTTGGAAATCATTGATTTAGGCAGAGATTTAAAGATGGAATTCCTCTTCATCAAGGGCTTGAATCGAGTGGATTTCCTGCTACTTTTTATTCTCCTTATCGGAACATCCCATCCTTATTTTTTGCTTGCCCTTCAGCATATTCTCTTTTGCTTGTACTCTACAGATAGTTTCTTCTGTCTGTTAGTATAAACTTGACTGTTGCCTTGATGTGGAGTGAATTCAAGTAATGTAACTTACGTTGTTAATCTGTTCTACATGTAGAACTTGGTAGTATACTATTTAGGTGTAGGCTTGCGATAGTAGTTATTTGGGCTTTTTTTGTTTCTTTTAGAAGCCATATATGTGGGGTGGGGGTTGGTTTCTTTTTATGCCTCTGACACTTAATCTAAGGTTCCTGGGTAGTGTGATTTTTCTCACAGTGCAAATCCTTCTGGTTTAGTATAATGTGGGAGATGACCTGATGCCCATGTGTATAACTCTTGCATACGTGTTAGGTGCTCATGAGTCTGACATCTGTGAGAATCACTGAAGTAATAAACAAATCTCAATTATTTGTTGCCTTTACTTCTAGTCTGTCAACAGAGGCCTTGGCTAAATTACAGCCTTCTGTTCATGCAGGATGCTATGCATTATTCTTTTAGACAAATGGTGTTATTGTGTATCAAAAATGGAAAGAAAGCATTATCCAGAGTGCCCTTTCTCTATACTGATGAGGGATTTCTTACTGGAGAAATGTCCTCTGTGTGCCCAGCTGGAGTAGCGTGGAATATAGGAGCAACTGCCTTTTCTTGGCTCCCAGTGTACTATTTTCAAAACCTCCTGCTCTGTTTCTTGCAGGTTTTTACCTTTCAGGTATTTAGTCATGAGCTATTTATTATAGTTTTGAGTTTTTTAACCTACAGGAAATCCATCATATATACTAGTTTTGCATCTTCATTTTTCTTCTGTTGGAGGAGGGTCACAGTGATTTAAGAGCTTAGTTTTTAGAGTTTGCATTGTGTGACGAGACATTTGTAAGTTGTTACCCAGTTTTGCCCAGTAAATTTTTTAGCATAGCTTCTGTAACTACTGTCTTTTTATCAATGCATAGGTTTAGTGAAGGCTGGACTCAGGCAATTTTGGGAATAAGTAATTTTTTTTAGGGCCAGTTTCTGTGCTGGAACCTTTATAATTTCTAATCCTCAAAGAAACTCACCAGGGTAGTTGATATTGGGCTCCTTTTTACAGAAAAATGAATGTCACATAATA